CAGGTGAGTAGCGACACCACAGCAGCGTCCGAAGTGAACAAGTTGCGTCATGTTTCCTGGAAGCCCTTATTATAGACGCCAGTACAAGCGTTGTACACTATGGGCCACCTATAGACGTACTGCCGTATTTCATAAAAAATAAAGGTTCATAGAGTCATTCATTCATATATGCCAAGCGGAAGCAAGCGCAAAAGAAGAATGTCGAGTCTTTCGTACGCGCTTTTGGCGTTGCAAAGATAGCCAGCTGAAATCACCAAGGAGACGAGAGGGCGAAGTTAAGCTAAGAGCTCGTGCTCTTTGCAGCCTCAGGCGATGTTCGAAGCGGCGAAGGCTGCGACTATTAGATGCGTGACGATAAGGTGGGCTCAGCGCGAAGATTGTCGGAGAATGCCACAGAGCTTTCGCACAGTTTCTAACGCGATTTTTATACGAATCTTTTAGTTTGAAAGTCGTTAGGTAGTTTCATTTTGTTAAAGAAGATTTTAATGTAAAACTAAGACGATTTTCAAAAAGCATCCACGTTGAAAACACATGGGTGTTGTTTTGTTGAACCACTGTTACGAGTGACAACCAAATTTTGTCAGTTCTCGTGATGCGTACAGCCTTGAGTGAATGAATGAATGAAAATAATTTTTATTGGCATCGACTTTTATCTTCAATTGCGTGTTTTTCGTAAAGATTTCAGTTCGGACGTGCGTTTGAAAGACTGCATTTTAGGGATGTGGCGAATGTTTAATGGTGTTTTGTTGACGTCAAAGCGCCTTTCTTTAGTAACCTTTATATTTCGAATCGTCTGTTAATTAAACCAGCGATAAATAACAAATTACATGTTCAGTGCATTGTAAAATGCTACAGTTTCTCTGTCACACATTTTATTGCCTAGGCTCAGCTGACCGTCGGGTGCTATCATTTGTTGCTGGCCTAAACCTAGTATCGAGAAGCCAGCTCCTGCCACTAAACTGCCTTCCACAGTATATTTGGAAGTTCGCTGAGATTCTAGGCGAGCAGATGTATAATTAGAGTTGTAGGTTTTGAAGGGCAGCTGCTGGAATGGGGCTGCGTATTCACTTTCCCTGGAGAATCGAGGCATTAATGGCCAGCTCCTGGGCGGGAACTATGACCTCGTCTGCCAGAAGCTTGAAGACGACATTTAGTATATAAGCATTAGAAAGAACCCCGCTTCACATTGAAATACGTCAGATAGAAAAATAAAGAAGCGTATTTATAGTTGCACAAACTGGCAGCATCCTGCGAGATATTTTGAACTGCTCAATGAGACAACAGCTAAAAAAATATTAGGTACGCAAGGCAGCGAACGGTGTTCTCGACAATAAAGCACACTTTGCGTTGGAGTATACAGAAGAGCACAGAAAGTTGCTAAACATATGAAAAATACTCATTTTTTACTCGTGTGCGGGCATATCTACCGAACAAGTCATTTTAAATCATCTGCATTCACACTTGCTAACCAGTAGTAAGTGTGAAAAGCGACTAATGAAAGATAAAAATACCGGCAGCAACAGTCGACGAACTGTGGTTGCTCCTCCAGTCAATTTGAGATTTTTCAGAGATAAAATGTACATGCCTCAAAAAACATTGTGCTCTTGCTAATATCCGCACGTCATTCAGTGCGCGGAAGCCGTTCGTCACTGTCGAATCAAGGCGCAATTGTTATTTGGAAAGAAATATCGTGTCATTCTTGACTGTGTGACTTGTAAGCATGAAGTTGAACGGCGCGTTCTTTGGCAGAATAGTTATTCGACAACCTTATTTGCATGTTCTGGCGTGGCGTAGAGCGTAGTGTACTTGGTATTCGAAATCGGGAAGTGGCAAGTTCGAATTATAACAAAACTAGTTTTATTTTTTTTCAATGTGAATTCTCGCTATTTTATTAATTTATTTATTTATCTATTCGTTTATTTATTTATTTATTTATGGCGAAGAGGCCCCCAGTTTTAACCTTGTGAAGCCACTTGGCGCAGGGTACTGGGACGCTGCCGCTCCAGCGCTCAGTACCTGCGCTGGGAGGCGCTGGTACCAGTGCCATACTGGACCCATAATCAGGCATGGCACTGGACGCTAGTACCCAGTGGCACTGGTTTTTGCAATATGGCCCTTTGTGCAATTCACCCACAGTCTCAAATTTGCGCCGCTTGCTCTCAATTTTCTGGCGCATTAGCTGAACACGATCAAGGTACGTCTGCACAAACTTTTTCGGGTAAGCGTCATTCATAAAACTGAGAATCCTATGGGCTCTGCTGCGATACGAGTGGGTCGCACGCAGTCCCAAGCGCTCTTTCTGCCTCTGAATTCCAAGCCTGGATTTATTTCTCTCCTGCTCACTTAAGAGTCTAGATGTTGTGTGTACCAAATGCGTTCTGTTTAAACAAAATTGCACAGCTCCTTGCCTACAAAAAACCAAAGGTTTTGCCCCGTTCAAGGAGCCTGTCGAACTCCACGCCCCCCATTGCTACACATATACTAAATTTGGCATCAGGTGGCGTGAATATATGATGAAGGTTGAATGATTGATTGATTGATTGATATGTGAAATATAACGTCTCAAAACTACGATATGATTATGAAAATCGCTGCACTTGAGGGCTCCGGAAATTTTGATAACATGGGGTTCTATAACGTGCACCCAAATCTGAGCACACGGGCCCACATTGTTTCCGCCTCCATCAGAAATGCAGCCGCCACAGCCGAAATTTGATCCCGCGACGTGCAGGCCAGCAGCCGAGTACCTTAGCCACTAGACCACCGCGGCGGGGTAAACGACGAAGGTAAATGACACGTCCTAACATAATAATCATGACATGGAAGTCGTGTACGGCATAATTTACCTCCGCCGCATAACGTTGTGCTGATTTGAAAGTGATATATCAACCTTGCTCGTGCCTTCATGGGGCATCATCGATTCCCACTGTACGTGAGATCTGCCTTTTTTTTGTCTCCACAGCGAGCATGGTGTCAAGTTGCTTTGCGTTTGAGTACAGGCTCGGTAAGGAGTAAGTGGCGAGTTTGAACTTCTCTAGATCAAGTTTTTTTCAGCATTTCGTTTCTCTACTTGTGTCGAGCCTCCACTTTACTCAAGTTGAAATTCGTGCCGTAAACTAACTTTTGGCGCACGCGTTACATCTTGCCACTGTTTTTTGCTTCGAAGGTGTTGCTGCTGGCGCTACGAGAAAGAAAGGTTTATGATCATAAAACCATGCTGTTGAAAACACTGAAAGTTATCCTATTACCTTAAAACTATAAATGTACATCTGGAGTGTTTACGCTTATAGGCGTATGGGAGCGAGCGAGGTATATTGCTTAGTGGCGGCTGTAACGAAATGCAGCCGGTAGATTGTACTCATTTAGCCAGTACGAAGTGCCATACCCCATTCACGCCTCGTCAACATTAGAGTTCCATAGATTGTGAACTCCGCTTGTGTAGCAGAGCGTTTGCAGTCTTTTTTACTCTGCCTTCAAGGTATGTGCAAGTTCCACGGGGAACTCCACCTTACTCCCCTTGCAGTTAAAGAACTCTGGAGAGAGTAACACAGTTCCTGTGCTCCTGCGGTACTCCCTCACATTCTGTGAGTGAATAGGTCGGAAAGCTGACTCAAAAATTAATTCAATCAGACGCACATCAAGTCGTAATGACTGACCAAGTCAGGGTGAGTGATATTTGATGAGTTTGAGCTCAAGCTTTTGATTGATATGTATGGTTTGACGTCCCAAAATACCATAGTTATATGAAAGGCGGCGTAGAGGAGGACTCCAGAAATTTCGACCAGCTAGGATTCTTTAACGTGCAGCGAAATCTGAGCACACGGGCGTACAGCGATTTCGCCTCTATCGAAAATGCAGCCATCCTCATCCGCCATTCAATCCCATCGACTCTGCGGGTCAGCAGCCGAGTTTTTAGCCGACTATACCACCGTAGCGGGGCAAGCCCAAGTGACCGTAGCTGAGATAAACATTAGTGAATGGATCTTGCTGAAGAAAATTTCAGTGATCCTGGACTGCACATTTTTTTTTCACTGGCATAGCTGTACCTATTTCAGCATTGCAGTGAGTCTTAAGTGGGCTCACGTTGTTTTGCGCATTCTCGCCAGCTTCAACGCACTAGCCTTCATATGCTGGCTCAATATTACTCATAAGAGGCAGGAGTTACTGACCTCCGCAAGCAAACTCTTTCACAAGTTTTTCATAAATATACTTGGTCTCAGTCATCTTTCCAAAAAAAAGCTGTTCTACTTGTGTTGGAACTTGAGAGCACTGGTAACACGTGTATGAAAGCACGCGATTATAAGGTATCATGTGGAGCACCGATATTGCGAGATGTTACAGATCACTGACATCATGATCGAAAAAGCTTGATCATGTGCTTACTCACGTGTCCACTTCGTTAGACTCGCATCGAGGTGTCAGTCATGGCTCATTGTGACTCAGAGTAATATTTGGGTGAATGCGAGTTTGAATTATTCGCTCAAGCGTCCGAGGCAGCTCTACGCGTGAAATATAATTCCTGCGAGTCTTAGTCGGCTCCAGTTTGTTAACATCCTAATACACTTAAGAAAGAAAACTACAAAAAATGAAAACACTAATTCACTACAAAGCATGAATAATGTTGACCGTTGAGTCAAACTCTTCCCAGTAGCCTTTCTTGAGGACTTCTCCAAAAAACATAGGTGCCTGCAGCACCTCACTTAAAGTTGTCCGAAATGTGTTCAAACTCCAATGAAACACGAGCCCACAACAAAGAGTTTCTTGCGCACACACTACAACAACAAAAAAACAAACGCAAAAGCTCATGATTCACAGGAATGAATACCGCAAGCCATTGACATTGGAAGGTAACATCAAGCAAAATACACAACTCGCATCAACATACGGAACAGCATTGAGCCACAAGTAACAGCAGATATTTTCTTTTCGAATTGGTAAAAGGTTTGTGTGGCCTAACTATTTTCCCTATTCGGTAATCATTCACGAAACAAATAACACTATTCGGTCTGAATTTTTTATTCTATTCTCAAAAGCGATTTTGTTTTCCTCTTGACGCATATGAGGGCATTAAATTGCTGGATGACAGATATCCCAGCCACGCCTAGCAGTTTACCAGGTGATATTTCCAGTTCAACAGTGACGATACTGCGAGGTTGATGGAATATTCCATGAATAAAATGTACTGCATGATGACAGGGTATCGTAACTGGGTTTACAGGTTGTGAAGACCACGGGACAATCATGTGTGAAACGCAGGGTTTTTGTGTTAGTGCCTGGATTATTGAGAAGTTCAACGCAGCCGGCCGCCTTCACAGCGTCCTTCTTTGCATTACTACAGCAGTTGTGATCTAATGGCTTATTGCTCAATTGAATGCAACAAAAAAAGGTATCATTGTAAAAAGCTGTGAAGTGTGACCAAGAGCTCAATCATTTGCAGTTTGTCGAAAACGCTTTTTTGCTCTTTTCATGAGCCATAATAAAACTTATCAACAGAAAAGCACACTTCCTGCTTTACACTTCACACCACGTGGAATGTTCATGGAATGACTTGAGGCGACAAAAGCGTATTATTGGTTCCTACTTGTACACTGGAAGCACAGTGGAGCCTTACAAAAGTAATCAAGCATCTAACAAACCAATTCTACATTTGAAGGGTGTACTGCGCAAATAACTCAGGGAGACTTCATCTACTCGAGGTTCTTCCCTGATATTAGAGTGAATATCACCTAATACTGGAGGAAGCACCTTACTGGAGGAAGAATACCATACGCAACTAAATTGATCGGTCATTTGATAACACGTGGGACTTCCTACGTCTACGAATAGCTTTCAAAACATAAGAGTCGTTCAGAACTTTTCATCTTTCTAATTGACCCTTGCTGCCAATAGAGGAGAAAGAAGGGGCGGTGGGGCACGAGCCAGGGGCGCTGGCTCGCTCAGTTGTTCCTTTGACCTTCGATGTAGCCAAACAATCGGGTCACGGTCTCCCACTTCGTTTCTCACACTTCATTCTGGTGCCGAAACCCGGGAACGAACCAAGGACCTTCGTCCCACACGAGTCTGTGGACAAGCCACCGCCTCACAAAAGCCCTCCATTATCACCGTGTAACAACCCCGCCTTTTCTATCGCTCGCATCTTGATCGCCAATGTCCACCTCAGGTTCCGCCGCTCTGCACCCGAACATTGCCGCGAGTTTCTGTGGCCGCGGGAGTGTGTTGCAAATAAAGGAGGAAGAAGGAGTGCGGGAACGAGCACGAGCCACGAGGTGCTGGCTCGTTGGGTCGTTCCGTTCACCTTGAAAGTAACCAGACGATTGGGTCAGGGCCTCCTTCGTTTCTCACAACCTTTTCAGAGGGGATAGTTTTTTTTTGTTAAGTCGTAAAGTACAGCTCGCCTTTCTGTTGTATCAAAATTCTCAGCGTCACAGCACTGGTATTCAAAAAGGATAGTCCTTGGGAAACACAGTCATTCATCTTGCCGCTACCTTTGTTTTAGCATTAGCGAAGAATTGCGGTGAGTAGCTGGTTTCCTCACCTATTGAAGACAATGTATGCAGAAGTTGGCATTTACACCATATTGAGCAAATGCAGAACGTCTCACTGATACGAATATGTGTAAAACGCCAATTTTTTGGAGGCGCTACTCGACCTCATTGAAGAGATACACTACACATGACGCAAGAACATCGCTGTCGCTTATCAGCAAATACACGTAACATAAAAGCAAAAGAACAGTTCAAAGTCGACACTTTTGCGTGATATACATGGTTCACTTGCTGTCATGTAATCGTCCGTAAGTTCCTCAGTCCATCTGACAAGTCACCGACGTACAAAACCAGCTTTCAGAAGGCACAGACTTCGAGCTTCTCAAGGGCAAATCTCTACAGCACTGTGCACCATCAGTGCGCATCCACCGCACAATCGCAGATGAAAAAACGCCACTGGCTACGCTTCTGAGGCAGTCTTCTTATTAACGGAAGATTCCTTCTCATTCGCACACATCGTCACCTTCTCGGCTCGCCACTTCATAAAGCACTCGATGGCCCAGAGGAGGCTAGTTGTTAACGAGACAGCGGCAAGCATCAGGTACATGCCGGCATAAGATGAACCCCGGTCCCTGTAGTAACCTGCGCAGTAAATGTAGCATTAGTTATTCAGTCCTCATATCAATTCAGTAATGTGCTAGGCGGCATGGGCATTGGAAATGTTGCGATACTGTATCAGATTTCACAGGTAGTGTAATGAAAAAGTAAATCAGTGTACTTTTGCAGAAAGCTCCCGCAGCATATCCTTAATTCCTGAAGATCTCTAGTGTCCGGCACGGTGATTTAGTGGTCCCGGGTGTTCTGATTTTGACCGAAGGTTGCGAGCTTGACACCGGTCGCGGCGGTCCCATTTCGATAGAAGCAAAATGCTAAAGGCTCGTGTACTGTGCGACCAGATAGCGGAAATTTCGAAAGCCTTCTACCACGGCGTCTTTCATCATCATATCGTGATTTTTTATAAACATACCCAGTGTGAGTTTCGGCTGCACCAGCTGCGTCAAAGGCTTTCCTTTCACAATATTTCTTCACCTTTCGCATAACTTTTAAAATGTTGAAGCTATTTCTTGCGCCGAAGGTTGAAGAATTGATTGATATGTGGGGTTTAACGTCCCAAAACCACTATATGATTATGAGAGACGTTGTAGTGGAGGGCTCCGGAAATTTAGACCACCTAGTGTTCTTTAACGTGCACCCAAATCTGAGCACACGGGCCTACAACATTTCCGCCTCCATCGGAAATTCAGCCGCCGCAGCCGGGATTCCCACCCGCGCCCTGCGGGTCAGCAGCCGAGTACCTTAGCCACTAGACCACCACGGCGGGGCGAAGGTTGAAGAAGTTCTGGCACTTTCTGCAGTGCAGTATAATGAAGCCAGTTCTCGCCCCGCCGCGGTGGTCTAGTGGCTAAGGTACTCGGCTGCTGGCCCGCAGGTCGTGGGTTCGGTTCTCGTCTGCGGCGGCTGCATTTCCGATGGAGGTGGAACTGTTGTAGGCCCGTGTACTCAGATTTGGGTCCACGTTAAAGAACCCCAGGTGGTCAAAATTTCCGGAGCCCTCCACTACGGCGACTCTCATAATCAAATGGTGGTTTTGGGACGTTACACCCCACAAATCAATCAATGAAGCCAGTTCTCTCTACGTTAACAAAAAAATTATATGCTTGTATCTTGTGTATAAAGCGCCTTCAAGCATTCCACTCAGTTATTTTAAGCCACGTAGAAAAAATACGCGAATTCTAAAAATCGATTTAGAAAAAGCTGAATTCAGAATACCCGTAGCGTTTCCAGCAGCGCGTTGTCGTCTGTATCTTCGTTTCACACGTTTTCTCGCTCAGCAAGCGCCTACTGGCATAGAGAATGGTCCTCCGGGTAACTGACTAAGACGTGAGTAATCACTTCTCTGTACTGCCTATATACATGTTGAAGACCTTTGCGCCGCGCAAAATGAAATGCTGCTCGACGACATGGTGCTTTTCAGCCGCCCTGGTGATGAATGGAAAAAAAATATATGGTACATTGATACGTCATAGAAACTGGTGTAACAAGAAAATAAAACGTGCCTTTACAGAAGTAGTAGGCTATTTATAGCACTTCGATATATGAAAGCTAGTACAATGTCTATTGGTGTAAGATAGATTTAGCGATGCCAGCAGCCTAGCCACGTACCTAGCGGCACATCTCCGTCCCGATGACTAACGCCTATGATTATCATTTAACCGTTGCGGTAGCTGCAGTTGAGCACCATTGCCACCATGTTGTAAATGTTGGGGAGCTTGGTTTGCTGTAAGCTTACCCTACGAAACAACCAAGGAGCGATGCGACGTACTCCGTTATCGTCGCGCACAGAGACGCTACAGCTGGATTCGTCGACTCCGACACGGCGCAGTGAAGACACTCTAAGCATGTTGTCAAGAAAAACGGGTTTATTAACCCAAGCTATAGGCTTGCGGGTAGGTAAGAAAGCTCCACAAGACCGACGGAGCCTACGCTTGCTGGCAGGCCTCACGGATATCACACAAAAGGCAGCAGCCGAGCACACGTACAAGACACCGCCAGCCTGAGCAGCGCGTCAACCTCCCGTCCAGGCCTGTGTGAATCTGCCCGGCAGTGCTGCCAACCTGCGAAGCCACTTTTTCTTATCTGGAGTGAAATAATTTCCTAGATTTCCCTTGATTTTTATAGACAGTGGTTTTTGGAAAATTAAGGTGTTTGTGCTGTGGAAAATGATCTCGAAGTTGACTTTTATGATATAACGGTGCATTAGATTTAAAATATTCAGTAAATTACCATTTTGAATGTGAAAAAATTCCGCAGTACAAATCTAAAAGCTTTAACAACACTTTATTCTATTAAATCACAAAAGTAAGTGGTCAGCACAAGTAGGGGGGGTGGAGGGGGCAGGGTATGTTGTATTGCAGTATTTTATACAAAATCACCAACACCGAAAATCATATAGGCCGAAGAAAAAATAAATTATCAAAATAATATTTAGAAACACTGCTAGCTGTTCAATGCAAAGCACAGAAATCTTACACTAAAACAATGTAACAGTGCACTTGTAATAACGTGCAAGTTACAAAATAATAATAATAATAATAATAATAATAATAATAATAATAATAATAATAATAATAATAATAATAATAATAATAATAATAATAATAATAGTAATAATAATAACATTAATAATAATAATAATAATAATAATAATAATAGCCAGAACGAGCATATAAAGTGCAGTACGTGAAATATTCCGGCGAGCAAGCTTTAAAAATCCATCAATTCTGTTGTTTTGCAACTCTCCTGCAGAAAATGCTTGGTGTTGTTTTTATAAAACATGACGTGATGCACGCTTACTTAACTTATAAACCATGTCCTGAACAACGTACTATCAAGCTTTGTCATGATATCTAATACATGATATTGTGACGAAAAATAGTTAAACCATAAAAACGTATAATATGCAGGTTGGCAGTTCCTCCCTCGCAACCTGTTAAATGGTTAGGAAAAGATATGTTTATTACAAATATTGACTGCCATATATTTGTTTCAAATATATCCTTCCAGTCTTCCAGCAGCCACTTTTTTGCAACTTTCTTTTTCAAATTTTTTTACCTGTGCAAACAACCGCATATACATGCAGCCTACTACTCTGGCCACGCTTTTCAAGGAAACCTTGGTGACCTTGGCGCAGCCACATGGCTCCACGAGGCAGCCCTTTAGCAACGTGCCAGCATTCGCAAAGAAGGAAGACCGACAAGAAACCTAAGAAATAACGCCGTTTGTGAAGGGCGAGAAAATGAGAGGTTGGTGTAAAGAAAAGCATATACTTCGTGGACTCGAGAGAGGGCACTTTTTCTTTGGTTTGAACCGGGATTCAGGCAATCGACGTCGAACACGGACGGCACAGAATGAACTGCAATAAAGTGGGGGAGAGGAGAGCGCTGACGCCATGGAGGAAGGAGCCTGACATCGTTCGGGGCGGAGACTGGCCCTGTTGCTCCTCTGCACCCCTCGGAACCGCTACTTGACATGTCACAGCGCTTTTGGGTAAGTGTAGAGGGGATGTAAAAGAGAAAAACTGGGAGAAGAAACAAAAGCGAGGTTGTGGGCGGGAGGTCCTGTCGTCGATGTGCTTGCTTCACGCGGAAGCGAAAAATTTCCCTAGATGATGACAAATTTTTCTTTTTCTATAAGCACTAGCGAAATTCCCTAGAGTTGGCAGCACTGCTACAGTACACAGTCCTTTTTCTCTAAGTACACAGGCGAGCGCTGGGCGAGCAAAAAGCTACTGGGAAAGGCAGCTGGACACGTGGCCAATCAGGATCGGTGAAGTACCGTGGCGTGTGCTAGCGTTACGCGAGGGTAAGGCATTGTCCGGGCGTGTCCTGACACGTTCTCCGTGCCGGTAAGAAGCGATCATTAAATCACAAGGAACGATTACTCGATTAAAGGCGCGCACTTAATCGATTACAATTTTTCGATTACTCTAGTACGGCAACTGCCACCACATCCCTGGTAATACCCCTCGGCAGGGGCGAATAAGTACAAGGCGAGCAATGGCGAGACACAGACGTTGAGAACGCCTAATCTTTCTCGCTTCAGCGCAAATTGATATCCTAGTAGAACAAGCCCAAACCTTCCTGCGGCCGTATCCAATGGTGTCAGAAATGAACTCGCCCTGGTCTCTGTCCACTACAGCGTCCATTTCCAAGCCCTCTCCGAGGCTTCAAGCGCTCGCGGCCAGGAAGGAGCTTACCACGACGAGGCAGGAATGCACTTGCGCGCTTCTCTGAACCCACAACACTACTGCAATAATCTCCTGCTGCCTTCCTTTATACTATCGTGCGCTGGTTACCTGTCGGCAAAGTACACATGGTGCTTACTTGCTATGTCAAGTTACTAATACAGTATGGTTTGTATACTGCTTCATTTCTCATGTCGCAATGGCGAGCAATCACAAGATCAGCACAATTTGGATTTGCAAAAAATATTGATGATGATTGATTGATATGTTGGATTCAACGTCCCAAAACCACCACACAATTACGAGAGACGCTGTAGTGGAGGGCTCTGGAAATTTTGACCACCTGGGGTTCTTTAACGTCGACCGGAATCCTGAGCACATGGGCCTACAGTATTTTCGCCTCCATTTAAAATGCAGCCACCGCAGCCGAGATTCGATCCCTTGACCGGCAGGTCCGCAGCCGAGTACCCAAAAGAAGATTGCAAAACGACGAATGCGGCGTGTGGTAAAATCGGTGAGCAGCACTCTGAGGCATCGACGGAACTCGATATTACCTGCTCCACGCCAACCTTAATTATTGTACGATAAGTTCCTTTCAAAAAAAATGATCATGACTAAAATGGAACTGCTGAGACCTTATTCTCGAAGGCATCGATCCATCTCCTCTATAAGTTATCGGTATCTCGCTACTTCGCCAAGAGCCCTTGTGTAACCTATCTTGAAATTGAATTTGCTTTCCAATTACACAAACAATTCCTAGTTTTCAACAGATGGCACTGAGGGTAATTTATGTTCGTTCAAAAAGCTTCGTGACTAAGGGCCTCTTCGTTTGGCCTAGGGTTTTCAGACCTTTGTCTTCGTTGTATGAAAGCAGACAGGCGGTGTGTCATCACTCAACAAAGAAGTTTGTTGTGTTGTGCACAATTCAGACGCGTGAACACCTTGTCTGGTTGCTTACTTGTTTGTGTTCGTTCACGGTTCCGCGCTGTTTCATGGTATTTTATAACGCAAACTTAGCTCTCGTTACCTCTCATAGATAAGCGAGTTTCTTCACCTGCTGTGTCTATGGCTACTTTTTGGGTATCTTATGTAACTTTCAGGTCAGTAAAAGCAAAAACATGAGTCGCACTATACGTATAATAAAGTACTCACGGGTTAATGTTAAACTGTAACAACCAGATGCTAATCTTGAGCATGTGTTGTTAATGTGTTCTTCCTGTTGAAGATGTTGTCAAACACCAGTGCTATGTATTTGTAAGATGTTCTAACTGAACGGAACGGTTTTATCTCTATATTTAAAGATAGGGCAGTTACTTTCTTGTAACATGACGGAAGAACAACATATTTTATTTTCTTTGTATTGATTGTTATTTCTTACATAAGAACCAGTCTGATAATTTCTTTAATTCTAAATTTACCTTTTGATTAAGCTCTGTAATATTATGAGCAGTTATTCTAATACATGTGTCTTCTGCATACATCATAAGTTTCTGCACAGTCGATTATTTGTTGTCGGCCAATAATATATAAAGAATAAAAAGTAGAGTATCTAGTACAGAGCCTTGTGGAGCCCGATGTGGAGTAACGATATTTTGTTTTGAATATGTTATGTTATCTTTTTACTACCAAAAATTGATCTTCCATGTAACTTCTTAATAAAAACTTTACCGCTAAATCCACCATGTTTAGGCTTGTCCAACAATATACAATTATGCAATGAGCCGAAGCCTTTTTGAAATCTAGAAATATGGCGGCTACTAGTTAGTTGAGATCGAAGGCCACATTTATCTTTTGTGATAACGTGATAACAGCGGTTTCTGATGAGAAACGTGGTCTAAAGCTATGTTGCTGGTGGCAGAGCGCATTATACTTATTGAGATATATTTTCATGTGGTTGGAAATTATTTTTGAGAATGGTATTAATTATGCCTAACACATAGATCGGCCTATGATTTGCGGCGTCAGCTGGATCACCTTCTTTATAAATAGGAATGTCTTGAGCAATTCTTAGGGTGGCCAGATGCTGCGCCTGTGCAATTTATTTACTAAATAAACGACAAAGAACTGGTCCTACACGTACAAGTAAATCTAGAAAAAGAGTTCTGCGCAAGCACCTAACCGAGCGACGATTTCAGAACTCCACAACATCAATGCGACGCCACCGGTGCAAGTTTTCTCGGCCAACGTGGCATCTGTTGGTCCGCAAACAATATTGAAATCTCAGGAGAAGCGACTTGAGTCATACTTACAATGCTACGAACGTGTGGGGTTGAGGACATGTGAAGCACTAATTTTATTAACTCCTATTCAATCTCGTGTTCTTTATTGACAATTAATCTCGACCACAATTATTGATCTGCAACAATCCGACAATCACGTACCTGTGCTCGACCGGGAAAATCGGACTAGACGCCACCATACTCCTCAGTATGCATGGGAAACTTTGCCCAGTAAGTTTTGTTTGTTTCACTGCGTAAAATGGCTTACCAATGACCCATTGATGTAAAAGTGGTAGGAAATGAACCCAGTTGGTCGATTACCAGGGCTGCTACTTCCGTTACAGGGCTACTACACTCGTTAGTCAAAACGGTTACTAGGGCTGCTACACTCGTTAGTCAAAACTAATAACTTTTGTTTTCAATAACTGTGTGCGTGTTAGCAATATGCCATCAACATTCCTTACCTATAATCAGCGGCCTAGGAAGTGCCGAGAGGCCATTCACCAGGCAGTGGATACCGATGGCCATGGGTAGCTTCTTGAGGCCGAAATACTCCACGATGAGGACGGAGAAGAGGATCATTATGCTGCCACCAGTAAGGCCAAAAAGCAGACTTGCCGCTCCCAGCAGGACGATGGACTTTCCGCGGGTTAGAGCCAGCAAGGACAGTGAAGCAAGCAAGAAGCCTACGGCCATAATGTCCCGCCTGCGAGATTAGTTCCTTTTGCAGCGACAGATTTTCGACTCAAGCACTGGTTGTCATCTGCAAAGACAGCATATACTAGTACAAATTGCGTTTTTCTCCTGACGCTAACGACTCCAGTTTCTTTTGCAATCTTGAACGGTATCCTTAAGGCATCGGAAAAATATCGTTTCATTTATTGCCTTGCCAGTCAGCTTGATTAACCGTTTGCCCCCAATGCAGCTCGTACTTACTATAAGTCTAATTAAAGCAAACAGAACTTTTAAATGACACGTGGCTTGTTGCGCCTATTGAAGTGGATTACAAATAGTATAGAACATCCGTTACACTTCAAATTGCCATAAAAATAATAATGATAGAGCTACTGTAATCAACCATTTGAATATGTTCTGGGATGAAACTTTTTCGACTTTCGTGATGCCGACTAACGCGCTCCGCCTTCCCCCCGTTGACCGGCGCGCAAGCTAGGGCACGAAAATAACCGTTTTTGGAAGTCACAAATGCAGCGAAAGTGGGTGTGCCAGACACACAGTGCGGCGTGCGGTGCGGCGTGCGGTGCGCCGATGTGGCAGTTTGAAAACTCGGCGGCATTGCGTGGCACCACCGCAAGCGGTGTCTGGAAGTGGTGCTGCTGTCACAACAGGCTTCAGTCAGCCGAGCAATGGGAGGCGGATTTGGTGGGTGTTTTGGTGGGTTGCTGCTGTGTCAACGTGTTATATTGCGCCGACTCAAAAAGATTTTGCGCTCAGTGGTGTCCTGTGCAAAGTGTATGGTTGTTTTCCTGCAATGCCAACTTGTTGCCAACTGCCAATGCCAACTGCGTGTTCTGCCAATGCCAACTGCCAATGCCAACTGCATGCTCAAGTGGCCACAGATCTAACACTTCTCCGAAACACTTCTGGCCTCCACGCGATGCGGCTCTCAGTTCAGCGTGGAATCACGCCGTTCCCCGTCTTGATAGAAGTCTGTCGGACAATGGCGCGCTTGTGATTCGCTCTCCCATGCTGAGCACATATGGCAATATGCAGGTATGTTATCGACAGGAAAGAAGTGAAAGTTTTTCTGGAACCTCCCGTCGTACCTGTGGAGGAAGCCACCAACAAAAAAAATCGCAGTTTTGCCGCAAGTGCGAAGCACCGAGTGCGATAACAACAACTTGGACTGTAACGCTGAGAACGGCAAGCAGATCGAAACGTCCAGCGCGCATACACATGAACAAATGAAACAAGAAAACAATACACACAGGACGACAGCGAACTAACAACGTCTACCACTCGACACATAACGTGCTGTTTAAACAAAAACGACGCATAAACGTAACGACAGGTATAGAGGAGTGCAGACTAACGTGTGTCCCAGTTGTTGTTAGTTCGCTGTGCTTGAAAATCGCACTTTTTTCGCAAACGGCGCCTGTGCAGCGACAAACGCAATCGTTCCGGTCAAAAATAAGGCGCGCAATTCTGTCAAATACGCGGGGAAGATAAGCGCGCGTCGGCGTATCGCGACGAGCTGGGTGTCGAGTGTCCGAGTGTGGGAGGCTTTCATTCTTATATATATATATATATATATATATATATATATATATATATATATATATATATATATATATATATATATATATTATATATATATATATATATATATATCTACGGCGCATGACACCGACGCTGGCGGCACAAATCGGCCGAGAGTGCCCATATAATTGCTATGACCATAAAAAAACATCCCCTATCAAGGGAACGAAATCGGCGAAAAAATGCTCGAAACGTGTTAGATGCGTGCCACCCTGCAAACTTTAAAACTGTGCCAATGATTCTGACATCACTTCGGCAAGCGGTGCCCTCAGTTAAAATGATCTTGTACGTGTTAGCTTGCCGTCTGCGAGTTCGCGCAGCATTAAAAGCTTCTATACAAACGACAGTTTTGTGGCCTTTTATGCAGTAAAGTCTGCCGAGAGAACACTCCTAATTGAAAAATGCCTCATCGTCGCTCAAGATATGTCAGTGAGTGTCGGTGCACATGGGCGTGTTGCAAGAACATTCAAATCACACAGAATAACCACGTTTTCGCACCTGGCAGACAAACTCGCGCGTTTTGTCGCATTAAATGTATGCCTAGGCAGTGAACCAGTATGCGCAGGGATACTTCTATTCGCACTTTCGAGCTCCTGTAAATAGTGCAGAGAGCGCTTCAATATGGCGGCACGAGAGGTGATGGAGGCTACTTGAAAGCGTCGCGTCTCGAGAATCAGGCGGCTTTCGGGCCCCTGGTATCTCTAAGCGCTATCGTTGATCTTGCCGAAGAAACACAGAGATGTATTGTCGAAGGAGAGGTGGCGTTTGACGCTGATCACGTCGTATGTTGTGGAATACGGGAAATGACAAGTGCGGCCGTTCATGTAGAGTCGCTCTGCCTGCAAACAAGCGGAATTAAGGGCCTGCCACATACCATAAAAGTTGAAGTGTGCAACACAACCGGTGCGGTAAAGGTTAGTATTTGTTATGACTTTTTGCCAACTCCGTACGATATGCGAGAATTTAGAGCGAACATTCGTAGCACTGCTGTAAACAAGGCGCCACACGTGCGCTTATGGCGAGGTGTATGGTTCCCTGCGCCGGCTAGGCTGCGAAGCAATTGTTCAATATAGTCGAGTGACACGGACGCAGTGGCACAGGAGTGATTTAAAAGATAAGAGCGAGATTTGAAGGTGTGCTAATATAGAGTTTACAGTACGATCAACGTTTTTCGCGTGCCGTGGACGGTTCGAATGAGAGAGATAGATTAGGAGAGTTCTAATGTAATGGAAGTAGTAATGTGTTGTTTAGAGCTTTCGGGATTGTGCGCATGTGAGAGCTATGGCAGTTACCTCGCAATAAATACCGTAATTCTAATGTCGTTTGCATGCTTATCATGACTTTTTTGCATTTTCAGGCTGAATTCACACGCAGGGCTGGTTTGTCTGGTCAGTACAAACATGTGTTGCCACAGTGATATATTTAAACAGGTAAACATATTTTCACGTCACTTGCATCACTTTTCGCTGATGAGCGTCTCTGTATGTTTACCAAGACTAATAACAAATGTGTGCCATTTTTCGAGCTAATAATGAGCACTAGGGTATTCCTATCCCTGCAATTATGATGATGATGAGTGCTCTTTAATGGTGCAAGCGCCAATTTATGGCCAAAGAGCGCCATTTCAGCAGACTAAAGATATGAACAATGATATGATGCCTGGCTGTACAGGAAGCCTTAAAAGTCCTCGCGCTAATGCAGGTTAAAACATGGAAGTAATAAAATCATGACAGCGGCGTGAGATATGTGCAGTGAAAGAGGATGGCAAAATGTCATGGTAACAAAACCACGATAGAGATATAGTCACCACAGGCACGACCATGGTAGTGATGTCGTGCTACGGATGACCTCGAAATATGGGGTTAAAGCTATGAACATCTTTTAAAAACATGAAAAGAGATTGCAGTTTAAAAAGCAGATCCCAACCAATGACATCCAAGGGTGTAGTGGGAGGTGCTGTCGGTAGGGCAGTAAAAAATGCTTTTTTTATAGAGCAGCTAGTTCATTGCACTGGAAGAGAATGTGGAGAACCAGAAGTGGTTCTCCAAATCTCTCACAATATGGTGGATTGCCGGTAGACAAAAGATATGTATGTGTAGAGTGTGTATGTCCTGTTCTAAGCCTTGTTAGTGTTACTTAGTTGTGTCGTGATTTTGATAGTGGTGGTCAATTACCTAGTTGTGGCCTAACAGCATGCAGTTTATTGTCTCTGTGTCTATCCTACTTGCTCTACCTATACCCTCTGAGCTCTCGTTTTAGAAAAGGTTTCAAGCCAAGTGCAGGGATTGGCATTGATGCATTGGAAGTAGTGTCATTGGCGGAAGCAGCCAGCTTGTCGGCCAAAACGTTCCCTCGTATCCCATGGTGCCCTGGCACCCACCAGACAACAACATGCTATTTTGATGTTACAGTGTACACAGAAGTGAGTAAAGTGACCCAGGCACGAGGTTCTCGTGCTTTTTAGGCGTTTTCAGGGCTTTAACCACACTTAGAAATCTGTGTAGACTACTGCCTTTTGTAATTTTATCTGTTTGATGTGTTTTACGACCGCCAGCATTGCGTAAGCTTCTCCCGTAAAAAGCTTGCATCAAGATGAAGAATGCAGACCTCGGAAAAAGATTGGCCTACCGCTGCATATGACACAGCAGTGTCGGACTTTGGGGCATCGGTAATGAACTCGGGGCATGTGTATTTATGTTGTAGTTCTAGGGAGTATGTATATATGTGTGCAAGTGAAGCGTGCTTTGTGACTTCAACAAAAGAAACATCACAGTCTATAAGCTGCCACTGCCACGGTGGCAGATATGCTGCAGGAGCCATCAACTGTGTTCGAGAAAAGGCACACCTGTTTCTTCGGACAGACCTCTTACACGGGGCGAGTAGGGCTGCCTCAACGAAAGACGGTTCTCGAACAAGTCGAAACAAGACAAATCATTATTGTGAAATGAGAGGGATGTTTCTTGTCTGCCTTCACCTTCAGAAAGTACAAAAAATGCAGGTAACATTTTTGTAGGTGGAGCGACCATTCATTCGAATCCACGTACAGGCTCTCCACAAGGCTAGTTCGAAAAGAACCGTACAGATGCAAATGCCTAGATGATGGACAGGGTCAAGACTCTTCAAGGCTGATGGTGTTGCCGACTGATAGAATATAGCACCATTATCTAGGCGTGTGCGTAGGAGGCTTTTATATAACTTCTTCAGACATTTCTTGTCACTGCTCCACGTAGTGCGTGAGAAGACTTTCAAAACATTCATTGTTTTTAAGCACCTGCCTTTCAAATACTTGATGTGTGGGATGAAGGTTAGTTTTGTGTCTAATGTTAGTCCAAGAAACTTGTGCTCGGTCTTCACTGATAGACGTTGCTCAGGCAGGACAATGTCGGTGTCAGGATGGAGGCCTCTCTTTCGGCTGAACAAGACGCAAGT